GAGTGGCTGGACAAGGTGGGAACTAATACTACCGAATAGAACAAACAGAACTTGTTTGTCAGTAGTGTAAAGCATGCACGGGTGTATGGCGGAGCCTTAAAAACGTCTCCTTTTTCTTATGCATGCTGTAGCTAAGCGCTAATTCAGGAATCTGGTATATAAATCAGGGCAGTGAGGAAAAGATAACAGGTTTTAGCAGACAGGAGGAAGCTTTGATAACCCAGCTCACAGGCCCAGGTGTAGGTCATGCAGGCCCAGGTGTAGGTCATGCAGCCAATAGCTCCTTTAATCAGCTCCTGTAAAACAGAGCACAGCACAACCCGCAACACAAAAACCAAAACAGACACTTTGTCCTTACGGGTTGTGTGACAACCTGTAGGAACAAAGTGTCTGAGGCGGAATTCCCATCGGGAACCTGGACAGCACCTGAATCAAACATCCTTAACCTTGTCCCCCCTTATTTATACTAGTAAATTCAAAATATTTACTCGTTACAATTTTATCATACTCACCAAATTTACAGCAACAACAACCCAGCCAGCATGTCCCACTCTGTGACTCAGCAACTCCAGTGCCTGGAGAAGCACTTTTAAAGTTAGTTTGCTGACACAGAATACCACACATGCTTCGTGTTAGCCTTTAAAAGTAAAGTCAGAGCAAACACAGATGAAACATTCTTACAAAATCTATAACTGCAGTGACCCATGGAGCCCAGAAGAAGCACAAACCTCTTCCTGGTTGGCAAAAATGGATTTTGTTCTGTAGCAGAGTCCCGCAGCATGCAGGTGGAAACTTATACACAACCAGACCAGCAAATGAGGAAGGCTCTGCAGTTTCTCCCATCAGCACAGCTGAAACATGCAGTTGCACCATTTCCCATGTTTCAAAGACCTGTGTAAAAGAATTTACCCAGACTGATATGACAGAAGTGCATTTCTCTCCAAACTCTGGAAATGGGTAATGCCTGGGGTTGGTCAGGTGCCACACCCGTCTTAGTTGTAAGTCTTATGGAAATCCAAATACCGCAATACCCCATGTCACACATCACTTCTAGAACTTCAGGGACATCAGGTATCTCTGCATCTGTGCTAAATGTCACAATCTGAGTTGGTCTTCCAAGCTATCAGGTAATTGAGCATCAGACTTTTTGCTTTATGCTTACAGGGCAAATGCTGCCCTGGGGCACTAAATTAGATTACTCATGCAATGAGGAGAAAGCCAAGGCCCAGGAGAAACACAGGCCAGACCGTCAGCATCTATGTTACTCATACTTAGTAAACCTTTCCAGTTAATTTTACTGATATTTTATTTTTTGTTTTTCAGTTTAACTTC